AAGATGCCACAGGGTCCCCGGATAAGCGCACGTAAAACAAGCTTTTCGAAGCGACAGATGGAGATCGAATTTGTAGTACTTCGCCAGAGTCTTGAATACGGGTCTCGGATAGACAACACACGTCGATATTAAGACTTTCCAAAGACATAGCCAGCCCTATCTGTTGTCCAACCTGCATAAGTGTGCGAACATTGAAGGCAGCCAGTTTGAATGGTGCACGTGGTTTCAGAAAATCTGCTTCAGTCCTCGTATTCGGTGGTAACATACAATTTTCAACCGGACAGTGACTCGAGAACGTTTAGATACAGTCGGAATTCCACCAAAGACGAGCCGCTGTATAAGTATAAAAGAGGGTGAATAATGTGGAAAATAATAATAATAATGATAATAATAACAATAATGACAATAATAGTAGTAATAATAATATTAGTATTAATAATGACAATAATTGTAATGATAATAATCTGAATCAATTGTTTGTTTTTCAAAGCGACAAAAGTAATTTCCATAGACATAAAGTGTTCATCATTTGTGTGTGGGCTGTGATACTGCCCGGGTGCCCAAACCGAAGCAGGTGGTTATCTTAGGAGGCCACTCCCCGAGCCTTTGACCTAAAGGTCTAACCCACAAGGCAGTGGAGCATCGTAAGGAGATGCAGTCCCATGGTAGCCGGTGACCAACGATTGGTTCATACGCCATTCGTTCCCGCAGGATACTGGAGCCCATGTGCACCATTGGTTTGGAATCCGGTTAAAGCGCCGGACATTCGCTTTTCGTCCTCTCATTTTCGTAAACAACACCCCCGCCACGAGAAGGCAATGAGTAGGACTTCCCTGGCAGAGGCTGTATACGCGTGGCCGTGTGAGAGTATTTCGAGAGGGAGAGCGGACTCTCCCCACTCTCGGCCGTACCAGGGCATTCAGGGGGTTGTTAAGTATACAAATTTCGGATGCAGTAAAGGAGGAAGATCTCGTAAAATGATTCATGAGGATATAAAAAAATTCCATTACATTACCACGTCATCCCAACCCAGTGCATACTCAAGGCTATGCAGACAATTCATTTAGTTTGGATGCAGTTCATGAGGATGGGCACAAGTTTGATCAATGTTTGTCCTGTGGCAAGTTCCACTTTTTTCATTCATGTAAATTTCGTAATTCTGAGTGCTTTAACTGTAGTGATATTGAACATATTCAGTCAGTTTGTAATACTACTGTTCATCTTGTTGTAACGAATATTAAGTCTTGTAATTCTGATCTTATTAAGTCCAGTGTTCCTAATGATTATTTATCTTTATCAACGACTTTGAAAGACAGTGTAGAGTCATATAGCAGTTCGGAGTTAAATAAAACCCAGAATTCTTGGGAGACAACAGTTTCTAATCAATCGACTTATCAGATTTCTCATGTTATTGTACCAGATATGGTTTTTCCTAATGATTCACTAATTTCTGACGAAATTCCTTGCAATTCTGAGGAAAATATGTTAAATGAAACTAGTCATGATCGAAAACCTGATGTAGTTTTGATAGATGCTGATTTTTCTAATGATCCGTCACTCTGCAATGACATTCTTAATAAATTTGAGGAAAGCATTTCAGAAGAATCAAATCTTGATGTCATATCAAATATTATTTGTCCTCATAATGCATTTGTTGCTTGTGGGAAACTAGTTCAATGCGAAGCACAAGTACTAAATGACCTCGATTTTGATTACAATTCGGATGATTTCATATTGTGGAGATATGACTGACAAGCTTATTTTGTAAATAGTTTTTAATATTATTTGTCTTTATTTTGTCAATTTCTCACTTTATGTACATTTATCACTAAATGACTGTACGAGTTGTTTTAGTGAATGACCTTGAACACACTTTTCCGTTGTGTAACTGCATAGCGTGACATGCTGTGGCTTGCACACAAATACATTGCTATACACAAATACCTTGTTCTATTTTCGTTTGTGATTGAGCTAACTGGAACCTAAGTCAAATATTACCAACATTTATAGACTGTGAATGGGAATATACCATACCTTGCATTGTATTACACTACTGGAGAGTTCGTCAACCAGATTGGAATTACCAAGCATTTGTGATTGTGGTTTCTTAGTACCAGACCAAAGCTAAACACTCATTAATTTGGTGAACTTAAGTAAAGTCCCAACTTTCTATTGTACTTGTAATAATTAACTTATATATATATACTAACATTACTATTGATCTTTACTAACTTTGTTGATATTTTTCACGTCTATACTTTGTCTGGTCCACCACAATATCAACTGCTGTTTATCCTTATCACAAAAACACATCTAATATTTACTCCACTCAATGTGATAAATGTTTTGAATAAAGCCACATTTTTCATAACTTGGGGATATAGAGATCTAACATTATTTCGTGGGGGGGGGGATAGTCTAAAAGTCCATGGTTCAACTTCTGGGTAGCAGCGGTTTCAGTATACAATTGACATGCTGATTACACAGTCCCAGGAATCAAGTGTGTCTGATCCGATTTCGGTTGTTAATTCCAATACTAATGAGCACATTCTAGATAATACAGAGATTTTATCCAATACAATGTCGGACAGACACACGATGAACTTAAGAAGAAGACGTACAATCAATTACAGACACCTAGACACCAGTTTAAGCTGTGGCGCATGTGGTGTCTGGATGAAATAATGATACCATTGTACTTGTTGAATGCTTGATTTCGAATTCTAAATACAACACATTCGTTTGTGCTTATCTAGTACTTCTTGATTCAATTGCGTTATTTCTGAGACTCTTAGTTCGTACTATAATTCAAATAATTCGAAACATTATATTTACTCTAAAGTTAATGTATAGAAAATCGAGGGTATTCATAAAGTTATATGACCATGGGTGTAAAGAAATTCCGGAAACACACTCAGTAATGATTCCTCATTATTTAGATATTCATGAGGAGCCGCTTCTGTTTTGTCTCCAAAAAGTCTGAATAATCAGAGATTACGCGCTTTTTATGTTACAGACTTGGCAAGTCTTGTAACAACTTAAATAATCGTGGGTTACTAACCCCGTCAAGCCAGAAGTCGGGAATGAAGTTGGTTGAAGATAGACGATTTGTCGTGAAGAACATGGTCTGAGCAAGTACACTGAGCAGATAGTTGCTGTGAGGGATGAGTTGCATCGTGTTCCACATGGTAATCTTCTGTGGATTCGTGACTGAGGACCTTCAAATACGGCGTGTCCAGTAAACCCAATGTGGTCAGCATCAATTTCGAAGACACAGAGCTATTTATTAGATATTAGGTTGGAGTTAAATTTATTAAAGGGCATTTCAGAATCTTCAACAACCTGAGACATAGACAACTCACATCCTAAAAGAAAATATGCTCAAATTGAATTCTCACTGCTCGGTCTACGACTGATAACTGCAGAGACTTTGGACACCAACCAAAGCTGCATTGGTGATGCAGCTAAAGTAAATGCAAAGACTCAATTTATACGAATACAAATCAACACAATCGCTTCACAATCATTCCTGATACTACACATAAACATACTCACAGCCTCACTTCAAATTCCACAATGCTGTTAAGCTCACTCTCTTCGAGGAAGACGCAAACCTCGCAGACAAAGTACAAAAAAGAGTGCCTGACTGGTTGGTGAAGTTATCGAATGAATCCCAAAGAGACAGACTCAGACACTTGGGATTATTCTTGCAGAGTTATAATGGAACAACATGTGATGTGATAATGGCATTCAACCTACTATGTTCGCCAAGGTACTCAAAAGCGAACACCCTACCAGAACACCACCACCACGTCCCTCGAGTGAAACCCGACAAATCGCTCATCAAAAAGCAAAAGCTCAGGCACTCTCTCACCCTTTCTCATTCAGAGTTGTTATCATTCGGAATGCTCTTCCAGTCGAAGTGTCCCGAGACTCCTCATAGAGTGGCTTCGAGAGGATATTTTATAAATGTCTACTAACCCATGGATTACAATCTCGTGCTTCGATAAGCTGTATCTAGTACATGTCTCGTGACTTACTGTCGTATCCTGACGAGAATTATGAATGGTAACTCTTGAGAACTGTTTATGGACCAACACCATACATATATTTTTATTGTATAATTATGGAATAGCTAAACTCTGCATACGTACGTTCCTCTTATTATGAGCTTTATTTTGACCCCTAGACTATTATTATACGATTTACTGTCTCTGAGTTCTGTCCAGTCTATTAATTACTGTCTCCCACACTCAGAGTCGCTTTTGGTTATATCTTCGTACAAATGTTGTTTTCTATTTTGTGGTGTGATGCGGCCTGTCTTGTTTGTATATAAACCCAGTATGCTTGAAATACATGATCCATATCATGGAGGCTGAGATTGGTGTTCTGCACTTAACAGGTAGAGCTAGGCAGGAAGGAGGACCGATAAGAACCCCAGACTGCTCGTACGGGTTTTATGCGTCATTGGTCCGGTTGATAATTCACTGTTCTTAAATTGGTGGTATCATTACATTATTTGTTTGTGGAGGAACAGGGTCACAAGTTATAACACTTACCTACTGTCATCATCACGGTCACACGTCATTAACTTACTCCTATCTCGCCTATTCTTATCCCCGTCCCCCCTCTCATTCGGTTATTCCTAACTGTCTGTATTACCAATCGATTAATTTGTTTAATTAGTCCTTGCAACAATCGTCTTCTCTCGGAATTCGAATTTCACTTTTTTGTTTTTCAATCGAAATTAACAAACCAACCTCTTATTTTTTTAATGTGATAGTTTTTGATATCCAGAAGCCCTAGTGCTCAAAGAAGGACCCACTCACTCAGATTACACAATATATAAACCTATGAATATCTAGTGAACTAACTAGAATTAATGCAGTCGATTGATTGGAGTACCGCTTACTGGATAATACCAAATACGTGGAACCGTAATAAAACAACAAGAAGGGCCCTCAAAAAATTGTTCAGTTTCTACGAGTTCGCCAAAAGATTATTCTATATATTGGTTATTGAACCTCGTCACAAAGATATTGTCTATTGGTATAGGCGCTATTTATGCCTTAAATGCAACTAACGGTAAAGCCTCTTACGCGTGCTGAGAAGGTAGTCCAGGTATGTTTTCAACCGTTCCTTAGACTTACTCTACGAAGGTGGATGATGATGCATACGTTTCAGATCTATTGGCTGCAGTGAAGTGTGCCTTTGATATTGATCCTGAGTATCAGCGCTTAGTCTTTAAAGGATGTCCTTTATTAGGTAGTTAACTAATAGTATCTATGTGATGTCCCAGACAAAGACAAGCCTCTACTAAATTATGAAATCAGGGATGGAGACAGACTCACCTTACTAACAAAAAGTGCACCACAACGAAGTGACTTTGAGTCTCTTTTGCGCAAGTATTTGGCTGAGAAACTTCCTGAAGTTAATCCAGATTTTGTGGTCTCGAAATTTCTCCAGGTAAGTTGATTAACTCAAGTGCTTCTCATGATGTTAAAGTGTGTATCTGTCAAGCCACAAGTACCATTGACATATTGATCATTAACATTTGTCTCACATTTGTCATATGTGTAATGTAGACATATATATATCCCCTAGTTGTTATTTATTGAAAGATGGCCTCAAATATTCTCTCTTCAAATCCTCGAACACAGACATTCCCTTGATCAACTCAGTTCTTGACTTTACAAAGACATCATGACTGCGAATTAGTTCTTTGGAATCCAGCGCTGCGTTCATTCTATGGGCGAAGTACTACTGTGTAATAGATAATCTCCATTATCTATATTAATCAAAGCCGTGTGAATTGTTTAATAATCGGTCGATACTTCATGATTGGTACACTGTAATCTTGAGGAAACGTTTCGATGCTGAGGTGTTTTTAAGTATTAAGTTCGTATTTCTGTGCGGCAAAGCCCCAAGTAGTATATATAGAAGAAATTTCATTGGACATAATCTTAGTTATAGTGTAAAGTCAACACACTACTTCATCTTATCATTGTAAAAGTCCACAAACCTGACATACTGAGAGTACGGTTTTTCAGTAGTGTCGTCCCACTAGATGTACATAACGTAAAGTTCGGTGTATATCCATCTTTTCAAGTTAACATACCACGCCAGCACAAGAAAATGTCAGTTGTATAAGTTGTAACAGCATTAGCGGGTTGGTACTAATTTATGAGTGAACCAATAAGATCTAAGATAGAAAGTCCTGGATATTTGGCTCGAAATCTATCCATTAATTTGGTTAGATAGCATTTTAACACTATAGTTGATGATAACCCTAACATTAATTACTGATCTTAACTTTAACTGTAGATTCTGATTTATAACTCTCTTTTGACCCTTGTAAGTGGTTTTTCACCAAGGTCACTGGCATTGTCCAAAGATCGTCCATAAATTATAGTCTGTCAGGTATGTCATCCAGTTCCCATCCACTGATTGCAGTTTTCATACGGACCCCAACCGGATAGTCTATCTGTCAAGCATAACTCAGACCAACAGTCACAGACTAATGCTGTTTTGGTTTGGTCTCTCTTAGTTTCCTAAACTACTCCGACACCAGCCTTCATTGCACTTCAAGTTAGGAAATGTTTGGGTATATATATCCCGGAAATTCGGAGATTTACAACCGAACCTATCAATTTCCCACTCTAATCACTATCACTAGCGACGAAAAATGTAATTAAATGACGTGAATAAGTCTCCCCAGTCAGTATAAACGTTAAGTGAGCCACTTGGCATTCAAACTCAACTCCTCCCAGGTTATGTATGCCTTAATAATTACTACGTCATCAACAGTGGTTTATGTTGATTTCTACGAATGGTACTTTTAGGGTGACTTAGTGTCACGTAAAAATTGTGGGCAAAATACTTAAGAACCGTCTGTTAGACTAACTTATTTTCATATGAGATTACACACGTAAACTCAACTTTCTTTTCTATTTCAAATTTCACAAGTCTATTAGTATATACTGGCCTTACTCAACCGATTTCATTTTATGCTTTTTTGTAGGCATTGTCTGCCAGATTAAATTCCATGAGTCTCAGTGACATCGAAAATTTGGCAAGTGTGTGGCCTCCATCTGGATAAAGTAGAGTTCAGAAAGTGTTGACATCATATATCCATAGATTTTCTGTTTCCAGCTAGCCCTGAATCTTGTACAATGAACATCAATCTCTCATATAAATAAGCGATGTATGTATAAATTCAAAATTATCGTATGTGTAATGTTCCCGCAAAATATACGCTTGGGGTTATAATTACTGTTACGATGTATCGCTGGTCGTGGCATCAGCCCAACTGGTCGATCCATGTATTTGTACCAAGTTCTGATTTGTTAAGGAATAGACTAGCCAGTATTAGTTAGTTTATGTCCACTCTTTATTTGCTGCAACAGAAATAACGATTTGTGGCCTATATTTCAGTTGAAGCAATTTGAAACGTTACGTTGTCTTTACTTCTATTGTTCGTAAATGCTTTGAGAAAAGTTTTGGGCGTGTAATTATAATCTGGTACTCAATATTAGCAAGTCTTAAACAGAGTCTGTATAACGCCATTTTTGGGAGATGGCTAACATCATTAATATTCACAATGATAGGAATTTACAGCCATGTGCTCAACTCCGTATGTTTATCGTTGACTTTTTAGCTTATAGAAACTTGAGACCATAACTCGTTTTCTGAACCCAGATGTTTGTAAAGTTTTCTGATGTAAAGCGTTGAAGTTGTGCACTCAATTAACACTCAACAAACCCATCGTTTTAAACTACTTGCACTCTTGTAACAAGTTGGCAACCAGTTTAAGAACCTACTGCAAATCAGTCCGGTAGCCTTATAATTGAGTGCGGATCCGTGCACTTTGCAATTATTATTGACTGTGATAGCGTATGTACGCATTTGTTGAAATAACCAACAATTTTGAATATGACGTTGGAGAAAAACAATTTTGTTTACAAATAGACATATTAAGGAAGTAATTTGTCTTAAATGAAACAACCTCAAAGTAATGAATAAATCGTATGTACTGTTAATATAATTATACATCTCTTAGTTACTGTATACTCAGAAATGCCGTTCCTTAAGTGAATATTTAAAGTATATAGTGTATGTGCGATGATTTGAAGTGTTTGAATTATTGTACGAATTAGGAATCCCAAAAATTAACCAAGAAGAACTGGGTGTATTTGGAATTCGAAATCAGGCAGTCGTCAAGGACAAGAATCATTAGTTCATACACACACCACAGTATGATAGGTAGACAAATTTCTTGGGGATCTTTTAAACTTTGGACAGCTTGATAGAATTCACCTGGGCCTTTAAGAGTTCGTTAGTAACGCTTTCTTGCTGCCACAGGTGGGTCGAATTCGACTATAAGGCGTATCAGTCTCCCCAATATTGCAGATATGCTTTGCCAAAGAGTTCTGTCTAGCATGAAATCTAGTTTACAGTCTTCATATCTGTTGCGTCCTTCCATCTGAAGAATCGTTTCTCATCACCAAACCTCTAGCTCTAAAGGCTGAATAGCACGTTACCCACTACTCAGCAATCTATTGGTATAAATGTGTTTTTTTTTTCGTCAAGAGACAAAAAATCCAATTCGCTGGCCATTCTTGCTCGTACTGCGAAAAATTCCGAGGTAAAAGAAAGTGTAAATCAGTAAAAGTATAGACAATACAAATGTTTAATGATTATCACTTGTAAATTTACAGTTCCTAAATAACATTAGTTGAGGTCTTTGTTCATAGTAACTAAAAAATGGCTTCCAAATCCTAAAAGTAATCTTTGCATTGTGACAAGATTTGAATTTATAATGACAACAAAAAGTTGATGAGGAGCCTTTCTGACAATTCAAATAGTCTAGTGAAACTTTAATTTTTGCTGTTAATGAGTTGATATTGACCTAACGTTTTATGAGATTCTGTGTGAAGAAAATTTGCACGCATTTGTCAAAATCCAAAACATGTAGGGGTATGTATATACAAAGCCATTTTTACCGACTGTCGTTAGATTTGATCGGGTTTCTTTGTCTAGTTCGGTTATAACAAGATTTCACCTGACACAAGTTGCTTATGAAAACACCAGTGAAGTGATCCTAGAAGGGCTCACTCCACTAAATCGTTATCTATATTTAAATCCTGTCATAGTTTGTGTTACAAATACTGTTTTCAAAACTAAAGGTCTCCATGAGGAGTTGACACAATATTAATATTTTGCAATGACGCAGTGTAAACAAGACATAGTAATGTATTATAGGCAATATTGTGTAAACTTTGTGATTATTTATATGTAAATAAAGTGACACTTAAATACAATTCAATTAATAATTTCGAAATCGTATTGTCTAAAAGTAATCATCGCAAAAGCTTAAGCACGAAATACAATCCCCACAATATTGAGTTGAAAAGTCTACCAACACTTGTTTTGTAGCTTAATAAGCATAACTAGAAACTGTAACTCTTGAAAATGATGAATTCTATTGGTAACTGGCTAGTTTAATATGACTAAACGGATATTCAGTAGATTAACCAACAGAAAACAAGCTAGCTGTTAATTATCCAATAAAATGCTAGTGAGGGAAACATGTGCAATTAGATAATGTTTAGTCATGAATGCTGGTTAAATAATAACGATTTTCATTCACTGAGCATGTGAAAATTATGGCAGAACATTGTTTTGCATTCTTGACTTTTACAAGGTACCGACTAGATAAGTCTCTGAGTTATTCACTTAATTTAGTACTTTTCCATAAAATTCTGGTTAAGCATGATTATTATGACCGAGAAAGTAAATATTTTGTCCCATAAAAAACAAAGATAAGAACTTGATAATTCTTTTGAAATTCTCCCAAATATACTTAGCATACAAGTTCCTAATAACTATTTAGTAGTTCTGTTTTGAATGTTGTTTAATAACATATTTTCAAAAAATGCAGGCTATATAATTATACTACATATTTTATAGAACATAGAAGCACCCACCTATGCTATAAACCTCTGCCACCACAGTATGTTGCTGAAACCAGGCTTTAAAAGACCAGGTCGATGTTCTATGAATACGTTGTTAATATTTGGAGTTATTAATTATACCAGTATAACGTTACTTGCTGTTTAGATATTTACCATTGGAAATCCGACAATGGTACAGTCTAATAGAATTCGACTACTGTGAAGAGCTCTTACAGAGATTTATGAAAATACATAAAATCGATGTTTGCGTCTACATATTTCATACACCACTCACTCGATGTAAGTTCAAGTAATCCTGCGTTCACTTCTTTATCAAAAGTAATTGTTCATAGAATTTTTCGCATCAAAAATATAGTTTGACTTTCTCATCTTTTCATTAGAAGACTGAGTCTTGTGCAACTACGTGTTTGACTAAAAAGAGAGATTGAATTAATGTACTCAATTTATACATGTGATAGATCTAAATCGACAGTTATTCTCAAGCATGAGTTCGTATTCTTGTTGCATTTTAGAAAATTAGGTCACAGCTTGTCATTCTTTGATGATTCTACTTACTGATGGAAACAATAGAGAAGATAAATATGTATTGATTACGATAATAATTTATTTGATCTGTACTATGTAGAATAGCTTTTCTCAGGATTACTAAAGCGACTAAGCTGATTCTTCTGGATCATAAACAACCGTGTTATACTCTTATATTTATCTGTACTTCTTCGTCATGTGTCGAAACAAGGTCCTTAGCGCACAATTCTCTTTTTTTTAATCAATTACATGATTTGATGTGATTAGATCCACTTCGCAGTTAATGGTTTTTAATACTTCAGTATTATAAACAACCAATTCATCAGAATAGTTGGAGCTTACAAATTACACCGACGGGAGTTATCAAACCGGATGACAGATT